AGGCCCTCGACCGGGTGTGTGTTGTGCGTGACAGAGTCCCTAAGGCTCCATGTACCCATAGAGTAGATACCTAGGCCTTAAAGGGGTTCCTATAAGGGTACCTTAAGGCCTAAGTATCTACTATAAGGGTACATGGAGCCTTTGGGAGTGCGCTGGTCAATCAGCTATACTACCTGCAAGCCCGCATGAACCCCTCAACCGTATCTTGGGGACCACATGAACCCCAAAATTGGGGTCATGCACGCTATGCAAGTACAAAACCTATTCAGCTTTCAGGGGCCATGTGGTCTCCAAGGTAAGCTACAGGGTGGGGCCCCCTAGTTATAAGTAGAGTTATAAGGGCCCTAAATTGGGTTATAAGGACCCTAAGTTAGGTTATAAGTCCCTTAACTACAGTTAGTATAGTAAAGGGGCCCCACCCTGTAGGTCTTGGGGCTGAAGTTGGCAGGGTTGTGGGATCATCTGCGTTGACCTTGAATCCGCTCCCCCTGATATAAATAGCCCCAATCCCGATTGTACTTCAAAATTCGAGAACCCGAATTAAACCCTAAACCCTAAGCTACAACAAGTTGATCTTAGGATGCCTCATAAAAATATGTATTTTGTGTGTCGGGTTTAAAGCCCTATGGTAAGCAAGCCCTGGGCCCTCCAACTCCCAAAGCTTCAACTCAATAACCCCAAACTCTAAGCCCACCTGCATATACCCCGAATCACCGAAACGCGACATCCTAAAGCGGAAGCCTACCTCAACCCTCAACCCTAAACCCTCAACCCTCAACCCTCAACCCTCAACCCTCAACCCTAAACCCTAAACCCTAAACCCTAACCCTAAACCCTAAACCCTAAACCCTAAACCCTAAACCCTAAACCCTAAACCTCGAAGGTGCGACCTCTCGACTGGAGCTCCAGCCTCAGCCGGCAGATCTTTGTTCCGTTATGGTTGATCCCCCCCACGAGAGGGAACTGAAGGCCGAAAAAGTGTGCACCCCTTAGGGCCAAACCCTAAGTCCCCACAACCCTGAACCCCTAAATCCCAAGTCCTAAGCCCCAAATCCCTTAACCCCCAAGATCTTACAGTAGACCCCGAAAAGTTGGAAACCTTTTTAAGGACAAATAGTGATGGGATTCCCTATACTTTACTCTTAGGGATTGAGGCTATTGAGTTTCCAACTTTGTGGCTTCTACTGTAAATCCCTAAGTCGCTAAATCCCCAACACGCTGTCCCGATGACATGTCCAAGCCCAAGTCCCACTCATTCCGCCCATACGTAGCTTGGATACAGGGTGGGGCCCCCTAGTTATAAGTAGAGTTATAAGGGCCCTAAATTGGGTTATAAGGACCCTAAGTTAGGTTATAAGTCCCTTAACTACAGTTAGTATAGTAAGGGGGCCCCACTCTGTAGGTGTTTCGGGCTGTTTTGGGTTTCAGCATTTTGGGGATCGTCAGCTTTGGGGTTATCTCCTCAGGCTTCCACCGGGACCTGGAGGCCAAAACGCTCCAAAGTCAAGGGGGTCAGGGGGTTGAGGGTTTAGGGTATCAAGGGAGTCAAACGCGGACTCCTAAGGATGTAGCCCAAAGAGGTTCCCTTAACATATCCCTAATTTGGCCGCAACCTTCGGGGGTCCAAGGCAGCGTCCCATAACAAAGGGCTTTTGCTTGAGGATTTGTGTGCGTGGGGGAAGGGGGGGGGAATTAGGGTTTAGGGTTTTGGGTTTCTGGGGCGCGGGGGGGGGGGACTTGGAATAAAATTGAAGTTCGATGGCCCCTAATCTCCATGTATTCGTTGCCATATCCACCCACAGAAGTTTAAATTCTGCCCTAAACCCTAAAACCCGTAACCCTAAACCCCAATCCCTAGTTAGCCCTAAGCCCTAAACCCCAGGCTTTGGCTTCATGGTCTAAAAGGCTTAGTCTTCATTGAGTCATGAGTTAGGCTGGAGGTTGTCGATTTTCGGGATGTAGGATTGAGGGTCAGGGTTTAGGGTGTTTTGGGCTTTTGGGGTTTGGGATGTCAGTTTAAGGCTCCGTTGTGGGTTAGCGCCTTTAGGTTTATTTGCTTTCCTGAACTGGGGCATGGGTTTTCGATGCCGGATCTGTTTCAACTGAATACTGAATACGGATTCGAAAGGGGGTTCCGAACTTAGCAGTTTTCAACCCTCGTTATCCCTACGTCTCAACACCCCCCCCCCCCCCCCCCCCCCCCGGCCCCCCGCCCTCAAGCCCTGAAACAAAACCCGGCAACGTCGAACTCTAAAGCCATCGTTTCTACCCACGAGAAATATCTGGGCGTTTGAGGCCAGTCAGTTGTGGACAGGGCGGATTGAGGGCTTGGGAGTTCAGCCGTGAGCTGTTTCTTATTATGGTTATGATTGTCTTCTTGTTGTGATTGTGATGTCCATCGTCAGTGTTCTCGTTGTGGTGATTTCCTGATTTGGTTGTGTTTCTTGTAGTTCCTGTGCATATGTCTAATATTATCGATGAATGATAGTTATCAGTATTGTCAGTGCTATCCTGGCCATAAGCTTGTTTAGGCTTTGAGGGCGACACCCCCCCCCCCCCCCCCCCCCCCACTCCTCCATGAAGCAAGCAAGGGGGGCCTCGGTGTCTTCGTGCAACCCAAGCTTAGGTTTTAGGTTTTAGGTTTTAGGTTTTAGGTTTTAGGTTTTAGGTTTTAGGTTTTAGGGTTTAGGGTTTAGGGTTTAGGGTCTAGGGTCTAGGGTTTAGGGTTTAGGGTTTAGGGTTTAGGGTTTAGGGTTTAGGGTTTAGGGTTTAGGCCTAAACCCTAAACCCCAAACTCTTGTTATCCCTTGGCTCCTGGAAAAAAGCCGGCAAGTGCCACAGGAATGGCGGTGCCAGTTGCTGCCCACGTCCCTCAAGGCTTTGCCTGAGGACTTGCAAGAACACAGCGGGGGTTTTGGGCTGAGGGCCTGATTGGGTTTAGGGTTTAGGGTTTAGGGTTTAGGGTTTAGGGTTTAGGGTTTAGGGTTTAGGGTTTAGGGTTTAGGGTTGGAGTTTATAGGGTCTTGGGTATAGGTTCGGGTTGAGGGCTTAGGGTTCATTCGAGTAGGGCCTTCCGCCCATGATTTTCCCTAGCCCTGTATTGCACGATTTTTCCGGGGTGCGCCCTCACCTGGGGTAGAGCTAGGTAGTGTAGTAATGGCAGGATCGTATTGTGGTGTCATCTGAGGATGAAGGAGTTGTTTTTTCTCTTTGTTTTGAATGGGGTGGACGGCTTTATTCAGGGTTTGTGGGTCGCTGCTGAGTCGTTGCATCACTGTTTTTGTTTGACCAACTCCTGTCTGGTCTAGCACTGCTGGCGTTGAGCGCTAAGGGTTTCAGCGTTTTAGGGTTTGAGGGTTTAGTTTGGGGGCCAGGTTCTTCCGGACACTGATCGGCCTTGACTGCACCCCAAGCCCTAAACCCTAAACCCTAAACCTATAAAGCTAAGCTCCAGAAGCCTTTTGAAGGCACCACCAGAGGACAGCGCCCGTTCTGACCCTCCCTTGAGGGCTTAGCAGCTTGTAGGCTGGGATGTTCCCTCTTATACTCAAGGGGTTAGGGTTTAGGGTTTAGGATTTTGGGTTGGGATGTTCCCCCTTATACTGACAGTCCTTAGTAGGGATTATAGAACCCCCTATCATAATCCCTATCAAGGACTGTTAGTATAAGGGGGAACATCCTAGGTTTAGGGCTGCAGATCTAAGGGTAGGTTCATGCTCCCTTCATGTGGTCCCTTACCTCCTTTCCAGGGTTCTGGAGTATGGGCCCTCGGGTTGTATAGGGTCTATAAGGGGTTCCCCTTACAAAGGGTCCATATTAAGGGACCATGGAGTTTAGGGTTTAAGGTTGTCGGTGGCTTGTGTACCCTAGTCCTGAGTTACACGTGTAGTCACCCCACCCCATGTCATCTTCAGGCACGGCGGTAGCTCTCTATTTTAGGGTCCCTTTTTGGGGTCCTTATTTTCAGGGTGCCGTACGATATAGGGCCCTAAACCCTGAACCCTAAATCCTAAACCCTAAACCCTAAACGGGACCTTAACATAGAGAACTATCCATGTGTCATGCAGAAGCCGACCCCATGAACCTTCAGGTGCACGTTGCCTTTAAGTTTCGGGCTCAGGGCTTGGTAGGGTTTAGGGTTTAGGGTTTAGGGTTTAGGGTTTAGGGTTTAGGGTTTAGGGTTTAGGGTTTAGGGTTTAGGGTTTAGGGGGTTTAGGGTTTAGGATGTAGGGTTTAGGGTTCAGGATGTAGGGTTTAGGGTTTAGGGTTCAGGTTGTAGGGTTTAGGGTTTATAGGGTTTAGGGTTTATAGGGTTTATAGGGTTTAGGGTTTAGGGCCTTGTAAGTACCTGGTCAGAATTTTACATCCACTTTGAATTTTTGACACGGATGCCCGCCCCACCCCCACGCCCCTCCATGGAACGCCCGCGGCGAGTTCTGAATACGGGGGGGCTGAAGTCAACGGAGCTTGGGCCACAATGCCTCGGGCCAAGTGTCTTGCCTCCGCAGTGGCCTATCCATTTCCATCTTTTGATGTTCAGGGCTTTTTGTTTTGATTGTGTGGGGACTGGGGTGGGTGGGGGGGGAGGGAAGCGAGGCAAGCAGGTGTTTTGGTGTTTTGGTCTGGCTGCTGTGGAACCTAGGTGGGTGCTTCTGTGGTCGTGCGCAATGGCCGCATTTTTCCTGGCCGCGCAGACAGCCCTTCTCGACTCAAGTCCTGGGAGGGCGACTGACATCACGGGAAGTCCTGAGACAAGTTCAACCGAAGGTGATCTGCACGTAGCAACTCCGCAGGCTCCGGCCGTGGTCGTGCCTGCGACTCGGACCCAGAGTCCCAGAGTAGGTCCTTAGTTATTACCTTTTTTAGGGCTCGGGTTCCCTTCCAAGCCCCTTTATAAACCCCCCAAAAAAAGGGCACTTTTTTTTTTCCTAGGCTACTCCTGGGTCTAGGCAACCACAGAAGCTGCTTCCTCCGAGTTGCCTTTTCGAGTTGTCGTCTTCATGACCACCCACTGGAGCCAGGACCAGCAAAGGTACCTTCCCTGTTGGGAGCGCGCTGTCCAGCTTCCCATCCTCAAACACGCCGACCTCATCCTGTACACCTCCGTAAATCTGAGCAATGAGGCGCTTGGACGCTTAAAGTTCCGAAAGGCCACGCTGAAGCACTTTCAGAATCTCACTGGCTCAAGACCCAACTTTTTTCAACTTTTGGGCTTCTTATAAGGTAGTCTATTCTGAAAAAATTAAATATTTTTATTTGCTTGGGTTTTGGGCCAGTAAGGAATCGAGGTTATCAGGCTGGTGCCATCCAGGCCATGCAGGACGCGTTCGGGCCGCAGGGGCGTCGCGAGAAGTGGTTTGAGGGCTACGACTGGGTCATACGCCTCAATTTGGATGTGTCTTAGGGATACTTGGAAATAGTTTTTTTTTTTATTTTTGGGCACTTGAATTCCTAAGAAACAGCACAAAAACTATCAATTTTTGCGAGGGTTCCAAGTTCAGTATAGGTGTTGATCATGCACGACACTTGGCTGCGGCAGACAATGGCAGACACATCCATTGATGGCATATTCCAACACTGCGACCCGCTCCCACGACTTCGCCGTGTCCATACTGACTTCTTTGCCATCCGGCCTCAAGCTCTTGATCCGGCCGCCGTCGAAAGCTGCAACCAGTCGTTGGCCGAGGAGCAGTTTAGCTGTTCGATCCGCAGTATCCTCAGATCCAAGCGCTTCCGATGGGTACAGGCTCCTTGCCTTACACCAAGGTACCCTTGTTGTTTCCCTATACTGTGGAAGGACTGATGAAATGAACTGAGCTCTCTCTTCATGCCAGGATGCAGATGCTTCCAACAGCACGTGTCGCATCAGGGGGGCCAGCTCGTCGGTGGTTCACTCGCATCAGTTGTGGCGGTTTTGCCCCAACTACTTCGCTGCACCCCCTGGGGTGAAGCGGTTCAGGTGGTCGAACTACACGCTGGCAAGCCAACAGAAAATCGTTTCACTTGTTGGTCTTTAGGGTTGGCGTGGAGTCATTCCTATAACCTTCAATTTGTAAGAGAAACTCTGTGACAACGATTGGGATGGGTTGACCCTTTTTTGGTACTGGGTCGCTCAACAAATCAGGCTCCCGCATTCCCATCCCCTAAAGTCTATCATAGCCTGCGCGCTACAAACCCCATAGAAACTTGTCCAGCGTTGTATTCCCCCCGTCTCAGCGGCACGTCTTTGCCAGGCGCTTCTCCCAGGCATCATTCGCTTGGCCGTTCCACTGAGAGCGGAAACCTTCCACTGCCACAGCACCTGAAAGTAATGGGGTCATTTTTCACAAATTTAGTATAGGTGCTTCCGTATAGTTGCACACATCTAACCCAATAATTCTGACTAGAGCCGCAAGCTATGAACTGTCCGCTAATTATGAACTGTCCCACCCCTAGAATACGAGCCTATACATACTGGACAAGCTTCCCCCCGCCCCCGCAATAAAATACAAGCCTTAAACCCTGAACCCGAAACCCTCAAGGCTGTCAGAAGGCGGCACCTTTCACCCCCACCGCGGCCCTCCACTTCAAGGTTCAACTACAAGGAGTAAAAGCATGACAGTGGAAGCCCCTCATGCGCCATAAAGACTACCAAGCCGGAAGCCCGGTATAAACTCCAAACCTCCTCAACCCTCCGAACAGCCCCTACACCCTGAGCCCTGCAAACTTAAGCTCACGAATCCCGAAGAGCTCGGATGCTCGAAAACATCTCTTAACCCACAACCCTAAGAGCCCGAAACCCACCAAGCTCCCAAAAAGCCCTGCCACCCTAAAGCCCCTAAATCCCTCAATCCTTTAAATCACCTACGTACCCCCTGAGGCCCCTAAACTCCCAAACCGCCTAACGCTCCCAATGCACCCTATCCAACTGCAAGCCCCCCCAAAACCCCAAACGCTTAACACCTAAACCTAAACCCCTAAGCCCCCAAACCCTAAAGCCCAAACCCGAAACCCTAAACCCGAAACCCGAAACCCCTAAACCCTAAACCCGCCCTTCCGGCCACGCCGCCGCGCTGCTCCGCCATGGCGGAGTCTGAGTCGAAGCCAAAGAGTCGGCTGAGAATGGGTGGCCTGGGCAGGGTTTAGGGTTTAGGGTTAGGGTTTAGGGTTTAGGGTTTAGGGTTTAGGGTTTAGGGTTTAGGGTTTAGGGTTTAGGGTTTAGGGTTTAGGGTTTAGGGTTTAGGGTTTGGCTGTTTTTTGTTTTTTTCTGTCTGGAGCGTTTAGGGATTCATGGTTTATGGGTTTAGAGTCTTGTTTCGAGGAAGTAGGGTTTGGGGTTTTGTTTGAGGTTGTTTTTTTTTTTGCGGGTTTAGGGTTGCGTGGTGTATTTAATCATGGCCTGGCTGTTTTTTAAGGGGCTCATTTTTATGATTACTATTATTAGTAGTAGTACTAGTATTACTATTATTAGTATTATTATTTCTAGTGAATGATTATTCTGATTTATTGCTGTTTTTTGAGATTTATTTTGCGGGGCTGGGGGGGGGGGGTGTGGTGGGAGGGGGCTATTCTTGTCTTTCAGGCCTAAGAGTTAATGGGTTGAAGTGTTTTTTTTTTTTTGGGGGGTGTTGGGGGTTTAAATTTAGTGGTTTGTAGCTGGCTAAGGGGTTGATTTGTGTTGGGGAGTTTAGAGTTGAGGGGTTGAGGGGGTTAAGTGGTTCAGCGTGTACCAAGCTCCGCAAATTGAGGTGTTTGGGGCTTTCTTATTGAGCACTGTGTTTTTCAATGGCTTGTTAGTAACATTTGTCTATTCGACCTCTCGTCGCATACGAACCGGAACACAAGATGCTGTAAATATAAACCATCATGAAGTTGAAGGATCGAGGCGCGCGAACAGGATTGTCAATTGGAGTTTCAGGAATGACATCTAGCTTTAACAGGCTTGCAAGAGCGTCCCAAAAATCGATCATGTCACGAGCTCACTTGTCTCTTACGGCTTAGGGACCTAAACCCTATAAACTCTAGACCCTACAGGGTGGGGCCCCCTAGTTATAAGTAGAGTTATAAGGGCCCTAAATTAGGTTATAAGGACCCTAAGTTGTCCCTTAACTACAGTTAGTATAGTAAGGGGGCCCCACCAAACCCTAAACACTCAAGTCACTAAACCTAAACCCTAAACCCTAAACCCTAAACCCTAAACCCTAATAAACTCTAGACCCTAAACCGTATCCCCAAGGGCTTGGAGTTTGGGGAGAGCTCAGCTCAAAGTTTCGTCTGGAGGAAATAGAACGAAGTTGAGGTTTAGGGTTTAGGGTTTAGGGTTTAGGGTTTAGTGTTTAGGGTTTAGGGCATTGTTGGGGACATCGAGTAGTACAGGAGCCTGAAAGATACTTATCAACTACCCATAACCGCCAGAACCAATACCACTCCCTCACATTTCTAGAATACCAGTCGGCCAGAATACCCATTCTAAACCCTCCTCAACCCTAAATCCTAAACCCTAAATAAGGCCGTTTCACAGGTTAGGGTTGGGAGTATTGGTCGCAAGAAGCTATGTCGCGTTCTGCTTAGGCTGGGAGTTCTTGTCATCTGCCTTCGAATTCAGCACTCCCTACGAGATTGTCTTCAAGGCACCAGAGCAAACGCACGCAGGGGTTTAGGGTTTAGGGCTCGGGTATAAGATAGCTTCGGACTCTAGGACGCGCAGTGGTATACTGATTTTCTCTTGCTTCTGGAAAAATGTAGGACTTCGTACCCCGATTCAGAGAACTTAGGCTGAAGGTGGTGTAGGGTTTAGGGTTCAATACTTGGAGGTTCATGGGTACTTATAACCTCAGTTATAACTGTATATATATAGAGACCCCCTAAGTCCTCAAAGTAGGTTCTCAGTGGACTCATAATTGGGGTTATAAGTACCCATGAACCTCCAAGTAGGGCTGAGAGACTTCGTAGGGGCTTAGAGAAAATTGAGGATCCTCAACTCTAAAACTCTGCGGCCGAGTCAGATTCGAGGACTAAAGAGTATAGGCCCGTAATTCCCTTTTTCTTGGGGCTTATAGGCTCTCTTAGAAAAGTCCACTTTAAGCCAACAAAGGGCAGCCGCTTTTTATTCCCAGGTTACTCTAGACAAGTAGCAACGGCTGAGGGCGTGAGTCATGTTAAGCTTTGGCGCACGTTTCTCCTAAGCCCTAAGCCCCAAGCCCCAAGCCCCAAGCCCGAACACCTCAACCGTAGACTTAAACCTTATAAACAGTATAACCCTAAACCCTAAACCCTATAACCCTAAACCCTATACCCTAAACTTAAGTAGATCTCGTCCTACACATCCTAGGGAATTTCACATGAGAAAACTTGTGCAGAACATTTGAAAACAATATGTCAAGATCTGTGACACAAAACAAGTATGAACCAAAAGACGAAAAAATATATAATAAATATAAAAAATAATAATTGAATCGACTCAGGAACCACCGGCCCTGTTCCACAGTATTTGCACATGTTTTCACAATATTTTCGTAATTGTTTCACATTTTTATTCCCAATTTTCTCGGGGCCTGATCAAATTTTGGCCCCCCGGCTTCCCCCATCCCCACTGCGGCCCCGGGCCGGATTCGTTTCACAATTTTTCAGAATTTTGCACGATATGTAACAATTTTTTCATAACTTTTTCATATGTTTCGCAAAAGCGCGCCCTGGAAGAGGCCCATGCCGTTTGCGCCGGCCGCTTTAAAAAGTGCTTCATTGCATCTAACGAAATCAAGTTGTGCCGCACCGCAGCATCGCACAGGCAGACGCCGACGAACGCAGAAGATAGACAGGCACCGAAAAGGCCGGCGAAGATGCTGCCGTTTGCATGGGCCGCAGGCAGGACAAGTCCAACTGAACCCACAGTCGAAGAGACACCACGTTGCACCTCGCATAAAAATGGCCGTGACAGGCGAGAACAAGGTCATCCTGTGGCGCCCGCCGAGTCCTGCGCCCGGCCAGAACGAAAGAACTTGCCTCGTTTGCACGTTTGGTTAGCTGTGCACAAAGGACGGCACCGGCGGCAATGATCGTCGTGGGGTCGCCTGCCAACCACTATCCCAACAATCAGCGCTTCTCGGGGGAGTCGCAGTCCAACAACGTCGTCTTCAAAACCGAGGTTCTTCAGCAGCCTCGGCTGGCATACCGGCAGAGACTGCTTGGTTTGCATGACTTTCTCCAAGAGCGCATGCGGAGCGATGCAGTGGTGGACGCCCGCGCCCGAAGACAAGGACTGTCGCAAGCTGCTGGTGTGCTCGGCTGGTTCGCCAGCTACAGGCCTCGGCTCGGCAGGAGCGGCACCTTGTCAAACAAAGACTCAGCAGATCCAGACCCCGCAAACTCATCAACACGAGAAAAAGTAGCAAGATTCCCCATGCCAGCACCAGGTCCACCAGAACGTCTCCTGGAGCCGCTGGTCTGGCAAGTACCCAACAGCGAAGGAAAATACCTGCCAATCCGCCGGTCCTGGCGCCGATGGCGCCCGACCGCCGCAGCGTGTCACCCCTGACCACAATCAACAAGTAAGCCCAGGGAGCAAAAAGGAGAAGCTCAAAGTTCTAAGCTCAAAGCCCCATGCTTCCACGTACACAAATACAATCCAGTGCCCACGTCCACAACTAGACGCAAAGTGCAACATTTCATTTCTTCCAACATAGAGAAGTGCAGCTGCCCGGAAGAGGACCAGTCGCATGGCGCCGTTCATGCTAATAGCCGAACCGGCATGGAACCCTGCCCCACAGCAGGCCTTGTTTTCGCCTCTGGACCCTGGCAGGCAACTTGGCGGACACTGGAGTATCCTACGCACTTGTCACGTAGACCTCCGACAAGACCTCACATGGTCGCTGCTGGAGTGTGATGCCCTGTTGCTGGCAAAAATGACGGCTGGATTCAAGCGACCCCGTCGCACTGCTGCTGCAAGACTGCCGCGCGCGGCCGCCACTGAAGGCAGTGCCCTAGTGACCTACGAGATATAGCATGGTCCAGTTCGACGAGTCTGCAGAGAAATGTCTCGCAGCGAAGCCATTTTTTGGACGCGCGTTGTAGAAATCAAAGCACAATTCTTCACAATGTTTCGCCTTTTTTCACGAATTTCTGGAGGCCTGATCAAATTTTGGCTCCCCGGTCTTCCCATCCCCGCCGCGGCCCCGGGCACCGGACCAATGTTACATTTCTTTCACATTGGCCACTTTTTTAAAGCTGCTGTTTTTCTGGTCACTTTTGTCTTTCAATTATTTCTACAAATTTTCCATATTTTTAGGGAAAAGACCGACATAATCCAAAACCCTTAACCCTGAACCCTAAGCCCTAAACCCTAAGCCCTACACCTTTCGGAGGGCACTTGGGAGTTGCAGGACGTGCGTGGCTTAAGGTTCGGGGTGTCGATAGCCCCTTTCTTAGTTCACTTTCTTTTCTTCTTGTTAACCCTAAACCCTAAAGCGTAAACCCTAAACCCACCCCGCAGAATATGAATAATATGCCTGGATCCAAGAGTACTACAAGTCTAGGGGTTTGCAGTTTTCGCGGATCAGATGCTAGGGTTCTGGTACCCTCTGTATTAGCTTCTGCCCAATGATTTCAGGAGTTGCAGCTGCAGCCCTCAGCCCTACGCCCTGCAGGGTTCGGACCCTAAACATACACCCGAAATCATCCCCACCCTGAAACCTAGACCCTGAAACCTCAACGCCTGCAACATCTCATGTCCGAAGCTGGAAGAAAGAAGCCAGCCCAAAACAGGGTAACCTTACTGTGGTATAATGTGGCTACCAAGTTTATGAGCGACCCTGCACCCTTAACCCTAAACCCGAAGCCCTGCACCCTAAACCCTAAATCCTAAACCCTAACCCCTAAACCCTAAACCCTAAACGCGGGCCGGCTGAGGATTGGCGGCTGACCCTACTGCAGGTGTTCTTCACTTTCATGGTCGCCGTGTGCCTTTGGCAAAAGCCTTACTTAGCCTTAATTTTGAATCGTTTGGGTTTCCTTATTTAGTGGGAATGATAAAGTTCAACCTTTCTTTTTCCCTTGGTTATTGGAGAAGTAAGAAGCAGATCCCAGCACAGCCACACTTGGGGCGCGATTGCGGTCTTTTGCGATTATTTTCTTTCGAACCCTCAACAACAAACATACTCTTCCTTATCAGGGGATTATAGGGATGGTTTTTTTGTTATTTTATTGGGGTACTAGAATCCCTTTTAAAGACTGTTGGTATAAGCGGGGAACATCCCAAAGCAAATATTAGTAGATAATTCCAAGAAAGAGGATTCCTCACAGCAGTCGAAAATGGCGCTGTGTGCTTTTCAAGATCAGGACGAGCCATAGGTTTGCTTTTAAGAGAAAATCACGGACTAAGCACGAGGCACTAGCCCCTAAACCTAAACCCTAAACCCTAAGCCCTAAGCCGAGCACATGCCGGTTTTTCAGCTTCCACCTTGAAACTTCACCACGCAAGCCGAGCGCTCCCCCCTCTTCGTAGCGCAAAACACGTAGAACACAACAACACAAGCCGAAAGTATCAAAGGTAAAGGGTTTTAGGGGTATACTTAAATGGGGACCTTGGGGAATCTTGTTAGCAAGTAGTCCGACCCCTATACTAAACCCAAACCCTATCACCCTACTCTAACGCCGGATAACCCTCTAGGTTTTAAATCCTAAACGGCCGAAACCCTTAAACCCAAAAATCCCTAAACCCTAACAGCCCTGAACTCTCGATAAACCCACCCTTAAACCCTAATCACCGTTGCGCAGGCGTTCTCGGGTTAGGGGGCTTCGACTGGAAGGGCTCATGCGGAGTGTTGCAGGGTTTACAAGGAGGGGCTCCCTTACTATACTAACTATAGTTAGGGGACTTATCACCTAAGTTAGGATCCTTAGAGCCCAATTTAAGGTCCCTATAACTCTACTTATAACTAGGGGGCCCGTCCTTGTAGGGTTTGTAGGGTCTTGGTCCTAGGCAGGGCTGCGTGTGATTTACTTTGAGCTCGCCTCTTAAGTACGGCATTGTAAAGCTTAATTATCTACCTGTTCAAACGTGCCCCTGAAGCGTCAAGTGGGCTTCAGGGTAGAGGGTAGAAAGAATTTTCGATATCAGAACCACCACCAGTGGCAAACCCTAAACCCTGGACTTGGGATGTTCCCCCTTAGACTAATACCTAACAGTCCTTAGAAGTGATTATAATAGAGCGTACTAGACTACTAGAATCCCGGAGAAAGGACAGTTAGTGCAAGTAGGAACATCCTAACCCTAGACCACTGACATGCGAAAAATCCCAAGGGTGGGGCACTGGACCCTTTACAGCCCAGATCGGCTTTTTAAGGCGTTTTATGACGCCTTTGTGTCGGGGTTTGGGGTCGACATTAGGGTTTAGAGTTTGCAAGGTTTAAAAAGGGTTCAGAAGGGTTAAATTTGGTTAAAAGGCTTTGAAAGGGTTTAAACGGGTTTACAAGGGTTTAAAAGGGTTTAGAAGGGTTTAGGCTTTATAGAGCCTGCGAAGGTATGTGGCCGTTCGATCGGTGCTGTTCTGGAGCATCGTCAGCTTCGATCAAGTCGCGACGGGTTTCAACAGCTGGTGCTACACCTCATGGACTTCACCTAGCGCCGCCCCGAATGCGATGAGAGTGTAGCCGAACTGTAGAAATGGGATAGATTGGGGACCACATGAACCCTAAATTTGGGGTCATATGCCCTATACTACTGTAATTCAGGACCACATTGAACCCTGAAAGTGGGGTCATATACCCTATACTGCTAGAACTCCTGTTAAGGTGTATGATCCATAAACGCTTTTAGGGTGTGGTCCCGAAGGCAACCGTGCTCACATGTCTTTGTGCCTGTTGGGAAGCCATGGGCACGTGCGTCTTTCTGAAGGAATGAAACTATGAGCCCGCGCACCAAGCTTGAAGCCTATAGCCGCTAAACCAGGGAGAGTGAGAAGGAGGGAACGAGGTATATATGGAAAAGAGAGAGAGTGAGAGAGAGAGAGAGAGAGAGCGAGAGACAGAAAGAGAGCGAGAGAGAGAGAGAGAGAGAGAGAGAGGGCGGGAGAGAGAGAGAGAGGGCGAGAGAGAGAGGGAGGGACGGAGGGCGGGCGGGCGGGCGGGAGGGAGGGAGGGAGAGTGAAAAAGAGACAAAAAGAGGGGAAGAGAGAGAGAGGGAGAGAAGTAACAAAGGCAAGGCTCATTGCGCGAATCACATTTGCAAAATTGAGATGGTTGGAAACAGCCGACGCAAATATGTGAACAAATATGTGAATGCACAGACAGCACGGAAGAAAACAGCCACGTGCACCGACACATGCGCCGTAAGCAACATGTAAAGCTTTGTTGTTCGTATAAACGTATGACACAGCAGGAGAAACACAGCACTGATGGCACAACGACCTGAAGAAAGAAGTACGACTGATAGAAACCGCCGCAAGCGTACCCGAGAGAGGAAGTTCATTACACGAAGGAACAGCTACAGTACAAATCCATCAACCGTTGATAAGCGAAACCAGGGAATGCTGGAAACATACTGCAACCAGACGTTGGGCGCAAATCCTCATTCTTGAAGACAAACAATATAATCGTGTAAAATACAGGGTGCGAGAACAACACGCCTAGCTGCCGAAACCGCATGAGCACGTACAGCACCAATTCTCTTAGCTTGTCACACGCTGCGCTCGACACCCTAAACTTTTAAACCCTGAGCCAGAAACCAACAAACCTGAACTCTACACCCTGGGCCCTAAGACCTTAACCCCAAACCTCAAGCTTTCCTAAACCCGAAACCCAATACCCAATACCCTTTTCCCCTATACCCTGCCGCCTAAACTAAACCTACATATCATCAGCCCTACACAGCCCAGGACTCGGACCAAACAGTCCCACACTGCGGCGCAAACCCCTCCTTCGACTTAGCACCCATTGAGCCTTTGCCGGGTTTAGGGTTTAGGCTTTCGGGTTTAGGGTTTGGGGGTTTATGGTTTTCATGGGTTTCCCCACTACTTTGCCGGGTTTAGGGTTTAGGTTTTCGGGTTTAGGGTTTGGGGGTTCAGGGTATTCATGGGTTTCCCCACTACCCCCCTCTATACTTATCCCTAAATCGCCTTTATTTTGGAGGGAGCCTAGGGGGTAGTATACATGGGGGCAGTAGAAGAACCCATGAGGTTTAGGGGATGTGGAATGCCGGCCTTGAGTCCATGTAGGGTTGAGGCCTTTTTTAGGATCTAGGTTTTAGGGTTTCGGGTTTTGGGTTCAGGGCTTAGGACATGTTGCTTAAGCACTCCCCCAAAAGCAGAAATATTCTTAGTTATAAAGGCAACGTCGGGATTATTATCTTTTATTTTCGGGGGATCTCAAGGTGTACTGCTTCGGGGGGGTTGGGGGCTTTAGAGTTTGAGGTCTTGTTTGTTTCTTAGGGGTTTAGGGGTGTGTGGTTTGGAGGTTTAGAGCTTTTGGCTTTGCGGGCTTGGGGTTCTGTAGATTCCATCAATTTTCATAGGGCTTCCTCTGTCAGACTTTCATCGAGGTTTTACAGACTGCCAAGGACGGTGTTTCAGCTTGGGTGGGGGTCACCTTGCCTGAGCTGCTGGGACCCTAAGCCGAGACCCGAAAGTCTAAACCCTAAACCCTAAACCCTAAACCTTAAACCCTAAATCCTAAACCCTAAACCCTAAATCCTAAACCCCCCAAGATGCTTAGACCTTTGCTGCGCGAGGTTGTGTCACAGCTTGGTGGCATTGAAGCTTACAACCACACCTGCCCGCGTGTGACAGGCGCCATGCCAAGGGGTGAAGAAGACTCAATTAGGGTTTAGGGTTTAGGGTTTAGGGTTTAGGGTTTAGGACTCTTTCCAATAATTCAACGAAATCCTGCGGTCTAGGTGTTTAGGGTTTGAGGTTTAAGGGCTATGACATGGCCCAGCAGAATCAGAAGCATGAAGCCCTGTTTGAGCCGGGTTGTGGGAGTCTACAGCCAGGGACCAGTGTTTACCAAACCTAAACTCCAAACACCAAACTCAGCCTTAAATCCCAACTCAATCAACCCTCAGACCCTCAGACCCGAAAACCCTCACACCCTCAGGCCCTCAGACGCCTAAGACACTAAGACCCTGAGACCCTGAGACCCTAAAACCCTCAGACCCTAAGACCCCAAGCCCTAAACCCTAAATCCCAAACCCCAAGCCCTAAACCCTAAATCCCAAACCCTAAGCCCTAAACCCTAAACCCTAAACCCCAAACCCTAAACCCTAAACCCACAGCAGCAGGAGCGGACATCATGAAGCAAGTCGGCGCCGAAGCCCAGGTCTCCCAGGGTGGGTACCGGAATGAAGGGTTTAGGGTGTAGGGTTTAGGGTTGAGGGTTAGGGTTTAGGGTTTAGGGTTCAGGGTTTCGGGTTTAGGGTTTTTGGGGCTCGAATGGCCTGTGTAGTTGTAAGGATGTACGAAGATCTTGAGACCTGTATGGTAAGTAGGTCCTCTCCCCGGCCCACCCCTCGCATCATGTTTTCGTTGTACGTAGGTTGCGTTGGTAAGTGTGTCACCCTTATGTTCAGTTATTTTGCTTGGGTCCCTTTTTCCTTTTTTGGGGTACTGCACCCTACTCGAAGACCCTTTATGGTAGCATGTTGCTTGAGTGGCCATGCGAAACATGGAGAGACCTAAGTCTGTAAGGACTACATCCAAAAACCTAACGCCTATGGTATTCCCGTATCAACGCCTGTCAGTGAAGCATAAACACCCTTAAACCTTAAACCTTAGGTTTTCGTAGGGGTACCCCTATACGGTAGGCCTGTGGGATAATTAGTTCGCAATGTCCCTAATTGGGTTAGCATGCAACAGGAGAGTAAATCACGAGCTAGTCAACACTTGGAGCAGTTTGGCAATTGCCTGAGGGTACACAAGCTGGTCACATTGGCTGCTTAGAGCGCGCCCGAACCCCTGAACCCTAAACCCTAAACCCTAAACCCTAAACCCTAAACCCTAAACCCCAGGCGGAGCCACCCTTGAGCCCTGAGCACAGGTCACCCTTTGGCAGCAGCTTCGCCGAAACACTCCCGGCTGCGAGCCAGGCGTGCCCAGCACCCCAATCCCTAAACCCTAAAACCCTGATCCTGAAACCCTGGAACTCTGAATCCCTAAATCCCTCAACGCCACGATTTCCTGTAATTTAGGCTTTACGTTGGAGATCTTGGCTTAGGGCCCTTTTTACCTAAAGTAGCGACCCCAACAAGCCTCTAAGGTCACTTATAAGCGTCCCTCCTCTAGTCCCTGGAGTCAAAGCTCGGGCGTTGGGCTTATTACAGGGTCATTTGGTCTTGGTGGCACAGCGGCGCCCTTTTTCCTATTCTTGTTGGATTCTACGTTCCCTTCCAAAAAGGGCTTGGGGGTGTAGGGTTTAACTTGAAAGTAACCAACCCCAACAGGTGCACCCTTACCACAACCAACAAGCAGCGTGTTGTTTGGAGTTCTAGGGAACCCTAAGCCTAAACCCTCAAAAGGCGAGCTCCTCCCAGACGCCTGGGATCCAAGAATCCGAAAAGTAGAACCCCACAAATAGGGTTTAGGGTTTAGGGTTTAGGGTTTAGGGTTTAGGGTTTAGGGTTTAGGGTTTAGGGTTTAGGGTTTAGGGTTTAGGGTTTAGGGGGTCATTCTTAGAAACCCTTAAAGGGATCTACTTTGTATCCTGGGGCGGGGGCTGTTGAGTTGAGGCGCGGAGCCGGGTGCGGTGGACGTGACCCTTGGCATGAGGCATGTTGTTGGGCTTCAGGGTTTAGGGTTTAGGGTTTAGGTTTTAGGGTTTAGGGTTTAGGTCTTAGGGTTTAGGGTTTATGGCTTTAGGGTTTAGGGTTTAGGGTTTTAGGGTTTCGGGATTTCAGGGCTTCGGGATTTCAGGGCTTTGTAGCCAATGGCACCCATGGCCTTAAGACTCCTACGGCTCCTAGCTCGGGTGTAGGGTTGGTTCTCTTGTAGAGTGTGATGTTGAGACTTACTTTTGCTTTGGTTCAGCGTCAACATGAAATTATGCATGGAAGTCTCTTTGAGTGGAAGCATGAACAGAAGAATTTGATTTTTCCGATTGCGGGTCGAAAACTAGGCCGCTAGAACCCTAGAGGTCCCAGCCTCATATATATATATATATATATATATACATACATACATACATAGGTATATGTATGTATGTATGTATGTATGTATGTATGTATGCATGTATGTATGTATGTATGTAGGTATGTACATATACGCGCATATGTATATGTATGTATATTTTACATATATGTATATATGTATTATACTATATTATGTTACATTATATACATATACATATACATATATATATATATGTATAGTGGTAGCCTGGCACTGAGGGTAACGCGCACCTGCAGCACTTAATCGTATGCAGTGATGGACTCTGATGAGGAATGGCAACAGGTGCTTCGAGAATTTCTTCATGGATGGAGTGGAGGACACGGCAATGTTCGGGGTGTTGTGGTTTAGGGCTTAGGGTTGAGGGCAAGTCATGTGTGCTTTCGGTTTGAGGGGGACTTGCTCAAACTGCAGCCAGCATTGGCTGTTCTTGATTCGATTGCAGGGGTCAAAAAAGGCCTAAACCCTAAACCCTAAACCCTAAACACTGAGCCCTGAGTGTGTTCCTGTGTCCCATGCTGCAGGACTTGCCATTGTTCCTTATCCACACCGTTTCGGCTTCACAGACGGGCATCCGGCGCAACATGATGGAGTGCCTGATCGTCAGGAAGATAGGCCGGGCGTTTTGCATGGCACTAAAAAACACGATGCTGTGCTTAACCGATGGCAACGAGCAACGTCTAGTAGCTCTGTGATGTGGGGGTTTCCGATGCCATACCTTGAAGCAACCCTGAGTCCCATACCCTAAACCCTAAACCCTAAACCCTAAACCCTAGAAGTGTGGCCAAACTTTGTTTCTGGCCTTGGCCGCTTCAGCCGTTTTTGTGCGTAAGTAGTTCAGGAGCCTTAATAACTTCCAGCATAGGGTTTTGGGTTTAGGGTTTAGGGTTGGGAACATCAGGCCTTTTATAACCCCTATTTAGTTAACACTACAACACAAGCTCGTCTAGGTATTGCAGTGACCATGTAGCTTGCGAGGACAGATGATAAACATGCACATATTCCGTGCGAGTGTGACGGACTGAGCAGCTGATGTATGTGTTGCCCTCTGACACGTAGCTCTACGGTTTAGGCAACCCTACTTGAACCCTCAACCTGTAGCCCAAGCCATCTACTTAAACCCTAAACCCTAAACCCTAAACCCGGATCCCCCAATGCTCCTATCGAGGGGATCCACCGCTGGGCTATACCGCCGTGGGCGAAAACAACAACGGATGGGCCTTTACCCTCCGAGAACTTCTTCAGCGCCCCGGTCCGAAGCGTTGGGTTGAGGGCCAAGCTTAGGGTTTATAGTTTATAGGGTTACGTCAGTTTCTACTTAAACCCTAATCCCTAGACCCCAGGCCCTCGTGATGTTTACGGTTCCAGCCCCAAACCTCAAAACCCTACGTAAGGATTTTTGTTCAGAGGGTTGATGGGAGCCAAGGTGGTGTTCCGTTTAAGGCTTGGGGCTTTGGGGGTGGATGGGGCGGGGTGGGTGGGCAGCTTAGGTTTATAGGGTTGAGGGTTTGGGTTTTGGGGTTTTGGTTTTGGACTTTAAGGAATTCAGGGTTTGGGCTCGTACAAAGAAGTAGAGACAAAGAAGCTGGAGTCATAAGGCGCAGTCATGAGGCTGACATTTTGCATGTCAGGACTTTCCGGAATTCTTGCGCAGGTCCTTGTTTAAGGAGAGTTAGAGGGAGGTTCCCCAAGTTACTCTAAGCCCCAATCCCTAAACCCTAAACCCTAATCCCTAACCCTGCAACCAACACATTTATATATATATAGATACATATATTAAAACATATCTTCCTTTTTGTGGCAATATAGGGGTTTTTATATATTTTGGGCGTCTCTTATGCAATTGGAAGATTACAAGTTTGCAGCTAATCCTCGCAGCTGCGGTTCCCAGACCTGTGAGGGCTTGCTGCAGTAGGATAGCCATTTTGGGAAAACCTGTGATTTTGCAGGGTTTAGGGTTTAGGGTTAGGGTTTAGGCTTTAGTAATTTCGGGTTCAGGGGTTCAGGGGTTCAGGGGTTCAGGGGTTTAGGGGTTTAGGGGTTTTCAAATAATTCAAATAATTCAAATGGAGCCATTTGAATTATTTGAATTATTTGAATTATTTGAAGTATTTGAATTATTCAAATATCCCGAAATCTGTGTCGAGGGACACAGTTGAAGCATTTTAAATATTTGAAGTATTTGAATTATTTGAACTATTTGAATTATTTAAATAATTTAAATAATTCAAATAATTCAAGTGTTTCCCAGGACAGAGCCCACCTCACCTCCGTCACTTGTGCCCGCATCCGTCTTGAAATCACTGCAGGGCCACACTTTGGGCCTCTGGCCGACCCGCATGCTGACCGGTCACTTGTGCCCGCGTTGTGGCTTGAAAGCATGTCTCGGCCACAGGATGACCTGCTTGTCACGCCAAAAGTCGCGCACCCCCTCCCCGTACCTCCCCCACCCCCAGCCCCGTCTGAGTGGATGTGGCTGTGCTGCACCGCGTGAAACAACCTCATTATTAACCCCGCCCCCCACTGTGTGCATAGGCTAAAATGGCCTGTTGTGATGCAAGGTGACCCCCCCCCCCCCACCGATGCACCGTGCGTGAAAGCGGCACAAGTGACCCGAACAACATGGGCACAAGTGACCCGGGTCACCTGGGCACAAGTGCTGGTTCAGGGTTGGTTGCTTGTAGTAGTCCATGTAGATCTTTCCTAGATCAGTGTAAGGGATCCTTTCTACTTTTTGGGTTATGGGCTTTGTTATATATTATGTGAACAAAAGGGATCCTTTTTTCTTCCTAGGGGAACAGGGATTAAGTATTTCAAGAATGGGCAGAGCCGTTGGAATGGTTGACATTATGTGACTGCAGGTATGCGGGCAACGTGACCCTGGATGATTTCAACGCGGGGAACGTCGTTCCGGTAAGGCCAGACACGAAGAAGCCTGTCTGCAGGGTTCAGGGTTTAGGGTTCAGGGTTTAGGGTTTAGGGTTTCGGGTTTGGGGTTTGGGCGTTGTGGTTTGGGGTGCGACAAGTTAGCTCATGAGCCTTTGCTCCAAAAATTAGCCTTGAAAAGCCTCCCTTATAAGAGAGCGATAGAGCTCCAAGCACGTAAAGGACCCTAAACCCTAAACCCTAAACCCTAAACCCTAAACCCTAAACCCTAAACTCTAAAACCCCAACCCCTCAACCCTACCCTAGACCCGAAACCCTCTGTGGATGGGTACTTAGGTTCGTGTCTCCCTGCCTAGTCTAAGGCTAAGGACCACATCCACGCCGAGCTCGCACCGTACACACCCGGCCACCCCGAGCCCCACAACCCGGAGCCCCAAACCCTAAACCCTAAACCCTAAACCCTAAACCCTAAACCCTAAACCCTAAGCCCTAAACCCTAAACCCTAAACCCTAAACCCTAAACCCTAAACCCTAAACCCTAAGCCCTAAGCCCTAAGCCCTAAACCCCAACCCCTCCGCGGCTCTGAGGATTCGCTACCGCCATACCGGCTTCATCCTAACCCTGCGCTTCCGGTATTGGAACTACCAGGCGCTCCTTACAGCAAGGTTTAGGGTTTAGGGTTTAGGGTTGAGGGTTTAGGGTTCAGGGTTCAGGGTTCAGGGTTTGGGTAGGAGGGTCTACATTTGGGGTTTAGGGTTCAGGGTATGTCTAAAATCTTATATATTCGAAACCCTCCCCCCACTCTCTCTATCTATATGTCTACCGGCCTATAAACCTTAAGCTCTCAACCCAAGTCCTGGAAACTTTACTGTAAACAAGGCCTTAGCTAAGCCCTAGCCCTAAACCCTAGAACTCCAAGCCCCAAACCCTAAAACCTACTTAGGCCCCCAAGCCCTAAATCCCTTGTTCCCTGCTTGGAGGATCGGAGGACCTAGTAAGTAGTTAACTAATCGAGATATAAGTAGGATAACTCCAACTAGGGTCCCTTTTAGGGTACGTATAAGCCTGCTCACTTTCTACTTAGAAAGTCCCCCGACCCTCCGAGTGGAGGTTTGGTAGCGCCACCCCCGGATTCTTCTACCAGGGGAGGAGATAGCGGCTCTTGGGACCCAGAGTATAGACCCAGAGTAGGTCCTGATTCCCTTTTGTTAGGGCTTGGGTGCCCTTATAATTAAGCCCCTGTAAACCCAAAAAAGGGCACCCTTCTGATTCCTAGCTTACTCTTGGGTCACCCTAAACCCTGAACCCTGAACCCCGAACCCTAAACCCTAAACCCTAAACCCTAAACCCTAAACCGTTTGTTCCTAGGTTAGTCTTGGGTCTAGCGGAACTTCCGAAGCCTTGGGGAGGCGATGTGAGGGGCTTTAGGGTTTCGGGTTCCCTAAACCCTAAACCCTAAACCCTAAACCCTAAACCCGAAACCCTAAACCCTAAACCCTAAACCCTAAGCAAGAAGGGGTGCAGTATCGCCTCACAGCCTGCTGCGAAGGCATTCCCGGAGGCCTACTGGGACCTGACGAGCTTTCCCTGGGACACTTTCCTGTGGTTTGAGGGTTTAGGGTTTTAGGGTTTAGGGTTTAGGGTTAGGGTTTAGGGTTTTGGGGTTTTAGGTTTCAGGGTCTTAGGGTTTTCGGGTTTAGGGTTGCAAGGGGGGATTTGGAATAACAGTTTGCCCTATAAATAATTACAATCTCATAGAACGTAAGGTGACTGTCGGGCCCTCACTCCAGTTTAGGCCTCTAGAGTTTACGGGCTTCTTGTTGAAGTCTTGCCCGTCTGTTGTGTTGCTGGGTTAGGTTCCCTGCATTCAAAGCCTGAACCCTACAAACCTAAACCCCATAAGCCCTAGCCCTTTACCCTTTAATCCCTGGACACTTTACCCTCGAAACCCAAAACCCTGTGCCCTTGACCCTTAAACCCCAACCCTAAAAAGCCCTGAACCCTTTAGGGTTTAGGGTTTAGGGTTTAGGGTTTAGGGTTTAATTAGGGTTTAGGGTTAAGGGTTAAGGGTTAAGGGTTTAGGACCTTAGGATGGTTTAGGGTTTTGGGTTCATTTACCAGCCAAGCCCTAAAAACCAAAGGATTGGCAGCCGAGCGAGCCCCGGTGTGCGGTCGAGGCTGCCTTTCCGTGCAGTTGCATGACGTAGAGGGTTTTAGGGTTTTTAGGGTTGAGGATTTTAGGGCTTTTGTAGGGTTTCAGGGTTTCAGGGGGTTTGGGGGTTTTTGGGTTTTAGGGTTGCATGGTTTTTGGGTTTTAGGATGTTTTAGGGTTTCAGGGTTCTAGGGTTTTAGGATTAGGGTTTGATAGGCTTTTAGGGCTCTGGGGTTTTCGGGTTTTAGGGGATCAGGGTCCCTACACCACAAAGGGGAGCCCCGAAATTAGGGCTCCCTTTTGATATGTAGGTAAGTATAGGTCCTTCGGGAGTTCATGGGGGGCGGGGGGGTAGGTACCTAGAGAACCTTAGGGAAGCTAAGGGAGCCTTAGGGAGTAGTGGGGGGTAAAACTCTAAACCCTACACCCTCGCTTAAGAACCCTGTAACAAAAGGGGACCCATCCTTCAGAGGAGTACCATGGCCCTCAAGGTCCATGTACCTAAATAGGGAAAGTCCCTGCTATCTGTTGACTTTGGGGCCCGAGTGTATAATCCCTCCCCCTTAATGTTAACCCCCCCCCACCCCCTAATATTAAATTCCCCCTGTATACTAGAATATACATAGAATATACATATAAGGGGAGTATTTCATATTGGGGGGTAGGGGCAGTTAATATGAGGGGGAAGGGATGAATCATGGACCCTTGAGGTATTCGAAGCCCGTCCGTTGGATAACTTGCCGAAGCCTAGCCAAGCCCCGCAGTCCAGGGTTGAGGGCTTGGGGGTCTAGGAGTTTTGCTTTTAGGGTTTAGGGTTTAGGGCCTAGGGTTTAGGGCTTCGGGCTTGGGCTTAGGGCGTAGGGTTTACGAGTTTAGGGGAGTTTGGGGTTTAGCGTTTCTGCTGGAGCTTCAGTCGCGCTGGAGCCATAGACCCCCAAAGTCTGAGTCAATCCCTTCCAATCAGACCATGGGAAATTCCCCTTTCATGCCGTGAGGTGGAGCTGCAACCGCAGGCCCGATGCGTGTGCGTGCGTGGGTGGGGTGTGTGTGCGTGTGTGGGTGGGTTTAGGAGGCTTCCCTGGCCCGAACCTTAAGCCCCAAGCCCGAAAAAAAGACGAAACCTAAAAGAGGTCCGGAGCCCCAGACTCCCAGATTCCGTCCCCAGATGAGGTAGAGTCAACGTGACTGCTCTTGGTGGGTGTATGCATTCTGCTTCCTCATAAGAATTTTGGTGGGTGCATATCAATAGAGCGTCCCTTTGGCCCGAAATCCCCCCCTTGTAATCAATCAGACTTAGCCGGTGGTCCATGGCGGCTTCAAGCAAGGGTTTAAGGGTGTTAGTGTTAAACCCTAAATCCTAAACCCTAAGCCCTAAACCCTTGCTAACTGAGGCTTGGGGATTTGTCGGCGCGGAGCCGGTGACCGAAGGCCATTCCCCTGGTGGGGTTGGCTGGGGCTTCTGGCTGACTCGAGGTCAGGTTGCTGTAGGGTTTAGGGTTTAGGGTTTGAGGTTTGAGGTTTGGGGTGTAGGGTTTAGGGTTCAGGGTTTAGTGTTTAGGGCTTCGGGTTAATTAAGGTTTTGGGTTTTGGGTCTTGGGTTTTGGGTTTGGGGTTTGGGGTTTTGGGCCTAGGGTGTAGGGCCTCGAGTTTAGGGTGTAGGGTGTAGGGTTGGATGTAGATTCTAGATCTCCTGGAGTTCTGGGGCGGGTGTCTTGTAAGGTATTGGAGGAAACTAGCGAAGCACCAAGTCGTGCCTGCCCCTGATCTTGACTCAATCGAAGCAGACACTTCTATCTTTCGCAAGCAGCACGTCCCCAGACCCCTGAACAAATCCCAAAAGTAGATCCTCTTAAGGGTTCCTAAAAATGACCCACTAGTAGTACACGGCATTTTCGGGGTTCTACGTTTCGGATCCTCCCGGATATCTGGGTATAAGCCCTAAATCCCAAGCCCAAAAACCCCAGACCCTGAGCCCTAAGCCCTAAGCCCTAAGCCCTAAGCCCTAAACCCTAAACCCTAAACCCAGCCCCCACAAGGTTCCTTGCTGTCAACCGTGGCTCGAATCCAGTTCGTTGGCTCCGGAAGGCACGCCGTGCATTCGGTCAATGCAAGGTTTGGGATTTAGGGTTTAGGGTTTAGGGTTTAGGGTTTAGGGTTTAGGGCTTCGCGTTTAGTGTTTAGGGTTTAGGGTTTAGGGTTGGGATGTTCCCCTCATACTAAGAGTCTTTAGCAGGGATTATCGTACCCCCCCCGACCAGTTTAGTCCCTATTAAGTACGGTTAGTATAAACGGGAAAATCCCAAGCTTTAGGTTTAGGGTTAAAGGGTTAGGTTTCATCAAGGTGTGGAGTGCGGAGACTTTTGTTGCGACGATCTTTCAGGTTTAGAGCTCGAGTTATGCAGTATTGAGTAGGACCCCTAAACCCTAAACCCTAAACCCTAAACCCTAAACCCTAAACCCTAAACCCTAAACCCTAAACCCTAAACCCTAAACCCTAAACCCTAAGCCTCCCTTCAAGCCACATGCAAAGGCATTGAGCCCTTTGACCCCAAATATGTGTACGTGCATGCCCTAAATCTTGTGTAGTTTCTAAGCCCCATCTTAGAGAAGGTCTCTCTTAGAGAAGGGGTTCGGTTGGGCGTGGATCTGTCGAGGGTCCGAATGGTATCCCCGAGCAGCGAAGGGTTTGGGGTTTAGGGTTTAGGGTTTAGGGTTTTAGGCTTTCGTGTTTAGGGTTTAGGGCCTGGGGTTCAGGGCTTCGGGTTTAGGATTTGCGGTTTGGGGTTTAGGGTTCAGGGTTTAGGGTTTAGGCTTTAGGCTTTAGGCTTTAGGATCTAGGCTCACTGAACATTGAAGCAAGCTGTGGGGGCAGATTTGGCGAGCTCTCCAGCGTTCTGATCATCTCTTCGCTGGTGGAAGCCGTGGTGCTGATGGGCAACTTGTCAGTAGGGTTTATTAGGGTTTAGGGTTTAGGGATTAGGGTTACGAGGACCCGGACTAGGCCCTTATTTCCTTTTTTTTCAGGGTTGGGGTTCCCTTCTAATCCCCTTATAACCAAAAAGGGTACCCTTTTTATTCCCTGGTTACTCCTGGGTCTAGTGGTCAGGAGACGATCCAGGTTCAAGTTGAGTCTTCATAAGGTTTGGCGGTATAGGGTTTAGGGTGTAATTCGGGATTGCCGAAAGACCCTTAGTTGCAGCTCCATTTCTTTTTTTTTGGGGGGGGGGGGTGCTACGTTGGTGGCCAGTGTACTATGTCATGAAAGTTAGGTAAGGCCAACAAAAAATGGAAGGGTTCTGTGGATGTGTCGACTGCTCACCTTTGTGGACGAAACGAGCCTGAAAGGTTGTCGGCTTCATATAGTAATATGCGTTGAGAAGAGTTGAGCACAGGGTAGATGACCTCCTTTTGTTGGGCTTCTGGTTCATATTCTATCATGGGCTTATGGGTATTGTGTCAGAACACGCCCGAATATCAAGGCTGCTAGAACCTTGAAGGACGCCATATTTACGGTTCGATATGTGATCTACCAAGCCTTACTAAACCCTAAACCCGAAACCCTAAACCCTAAACCCTCTACACATCCTCAACCCGAAGCCCCAAACCTTCTTTCCAGGCATTGCAAGCTCAGTCACGCTTTACGTCGCGCGCTTCTTGTACGGCGAAGCCTTCCGGGATGCCCCTCTGACGGCAATGTGTTTAGGCTCTAGGGTTTAGGGTTTAGGGTATTCCCGCGGACCACGGGGTACCCCTTTCCTTTCTCAGGTTCCTTGTATCAATCCCCTTCAGCACGGCAGTAAATTCTTACTAGGTTTCCTGGAGAAACTGCCCTTGCTCAAACTGGGTCCAGGGTTTGGGTTTAGAGTTTAGGGTTTGGGTTTAGGGTTTAGGGTGTTGGGTTTAATTAGGGTTGAAGGTTTAGGGTTTAGGCTTCTAACCCAAATCACAGCTGCACTCAAAAGCTCCCCTACGTCCTCTGAGCAGGTTATCTAAGTAGACTTCTAATAGGGGTTACTAAGTACCCATGAAACCTCCAAGTAGTAGTAAAAGGTTCCTAAAAGGCATCCCAAAAGGGCTTCTGGAATAAGAGCCAGCAGAAAAGTAGGTTTGGGCTTCTTGTAACGCTTCAAGAGGACCAGAACGAGTCCTGCTCTTACAGTTTCTCGCGCGTAGGACGTCCCAGCCGTCCCTGCTAGGATGCCCAGTAGTGCCCTTATTACCTTTTTGGGGGTTAGATTCCCTTATTCGCCCCTGTAAGGCAAAAAAAGGGCGGCCATTTTCAGCCTGGGTTACTGGGCAGCCTAGCCTGTATACCAGAGTGGAGGTAGGTTCTACTACATGGGTAAATGTGGGGGTTGATATCAAACCTAAACCCTGAAAATCCAAAACCCAAGAAAACCCGAAACCCTAAAAAGACCCTAAACCCCAAAAAAGACCTAAGACCTAAAAAGTCCCTAAACCCTTAAAACCCTAAACCTTAATAGCCCTAAACCCTACTAAAACCCTAAACCCTAAGCTATAGAAGCCTTGCTTGTGGCACCTTCAGCTACAGCATACTTGAGCAGATCGCCCCAGACATCAGCACCACATGTGAGGATTGCATGCGGTCATTAATTTTCTGACGACCTCGGTGTCATGGGATTAGGGTTTACGGTTTTTGGGGTTGGGGGGCTGGGGGGTTTAGGGTTTAGGATTTAGGGTTCAGGGTTCAGGGGGTTCAGGGGGTTCAGGGTTTAGGGTTTAGGGTTTAGGGTTTAGGGTGTTTTAGCCTCAGAACAAGCCCTGAGGTCACTGAAACCTCCTTTGAGAGATATGGCCGCAGCCATGAGGACGCCGAGAAAGGCGCATGCTGGCTAGTGCCCTCTACAGTTCTGATGTAGCTCCCCTAAGCCCTAAAGCCTACACCCTAAACCCTTAACCATAAACCCTATACCCGAGCAGTTGTGTCCATAAATACCTCACCTTAAAGCCCAACGGAAGCTGGCTTAGGGTCAAGGATCCACGGTTTCGGGCCATTCCAAGTATATGGCAGATAAGTTAGAGAACGCTAGAGCGACATCAAAGACGTGACAAACAGGCGTGCCTTACTGGGGTCCTTCTTGTAAGGGAGGCCCTATTCTTTGGGGGGTGATATTAGGGGTCCCTTATTTCGTAGTGAAGGTACCGCATCAGGTTCCCACCACAGCAAAGGGGTGGGGGCATGAGGGAGATACCCAGGTTCTAGCAATGGACCATGGCACGAACATTCAAACCTCCATGCCCTCTAAACCCTAAAACCTCAGCCCTAGACCCTAGACCCGAAACCCTAAACCCTAAAACCTCTCCCCCAACCCCCCAACACCATCACGAACGAAACACAACTTTCTCGCACTCCCTGGTGAGGGAAGAGCGTCTTCGGCCGCCGCAGCAAGTCTGCCTTTGCGCGAGTGGACAGGCGCAACCGTAAACCCTAAACCCCAAAACCGTTCTTTGGGCTTTTGGGAGGGGTGCCAGGCTCGTGCACGAATTCCTCGTGGGCCTCCCTGCTCATCCTACCACTACTCCAAAAGCCCTAAACGTAAATCTCTGAACCCTAAACCCCTGAGTCCTACACCCTAACCCCTAAACCCCTAAACCTCTAAGCCTCTAAACCTCTAAACCCCTCAACCCTAAGCCCTAAACCCCTCAACCCTAAGCCCTAAACCCTAAACCCTAAACCCTAAAGGCAGTCGCGGTGAGTCCACCTGCCCTGCAAGGCGAACTGGCGTGCGTAGCATGGTGGGCTCCTCAAGCGAGGCAGGGCCATGTCAGTCTCTGCGCAGCTCAGGGTCTAGGGTTTAGGGTTTAGGGCTTAGGGTTTCGGGTTTAGGGTTTAGGGTTTACGTTTAGGTTTTGGGTTTAGGGGTTAGGGTTTCGGGCTTAGGGTTTCGGGCTTAGAGTTTAGGGTTTAGGGTTTAGGGGTTGAGGGTTTAGGGGTTTAGGGTTTAGGGTTGAGGGGTTTAGAGTTTAGGGCTTAGGGATTCGGGTTTAGGGTTTAGGGCTTAGGGTTTCGGGTTTAGGGTTTAGGGTTTAGGTTCAGGTTTAGGGGATAGGGTTTCGGGTTTCGGGTTTAGGGTTTCGGGTTTAGAGTTTAGGGTTTAGAGGTTGAGGGTTTAGGGGTTGAGGGTTTAGGGTTGAGGGGTTTAGGGTTTCGGGGTTTAGGGTTC